TATATCCCTGAATCTCCACAATTCACAGCCTTAAGAATAATTACCTTGGAAAATGGTGATTTGGAGCATTAAAAGAAACCAGGAGTGATGATAAATAGGAGTTTAGCAGGTTAAAATACACTGAAAGAAACTCAATTCTCAGACAGTTATGACAAGAAATATTGTATGTAGACTTTACATTGAGCCTTCTAACAAAAGATCTGGGGAAGCAAATGCCTTATGAGATTTAAATCTCCTATTGCCCTTTCTGATTTATTCCAACTAGCTAGTTCAGATACCTAGGATAACCGTTTATTTTACAAAATAATGTATTTGGGTAGTGTTTAGGTAGGATGACTAGGTCACTTATTGTCCAAAATGGGACAATAAGCATAAATCAGGACTGTACTGTTGAACGCCCTATTCACAGGAGAAGGCATGCTAATAAAAATCAGGTAAAAATGGAGAAAGAGAGAGAGAGAAAGTTACTGCAAAAAAAAAGAAAAGGAAAAAAGGACCCAAGATCACTTGATGGTTATTTGAAGAGAATGAAATTTACTGCGAGTTGGTGACAGGGAGGGAGCTACATGTTTGAGTCAAACAGGTTTTTTTTTTTTAATGCCAGCTGCTAGCCCTCTCCATTACTACCCAGCTACCAGTCCTTTTTTGGTGCAAGGACCTACCCTCCCAACAAAACTGAAGCACCCGCCACAAAAGATTGCTGAATTACAGTCGCTGTCCAAACCTCTGCATGAAGTATTTACCCTGGTGTGAAAAATACTATATGCAGATTTTAATTTCTTATCATTTTAGATTGTTTATTTGAAACATAAATTGGTTGCATCCTAGTGACATTCCTTTTTCAAATTATGACACTATCACAAATTGTCATTTGCCACATTCTCAAACAACTGAGTATAATTTGAGAGGCACAGATAATCTCCCCTTCATGGAAGAACCAAAGAATACCTCTTAAGGCAATACTGTCATGTCAGGCAGTGTGGAGTGTGCTGCTACTTGAGGAGAAAATGTGCTGCACACTTAACATCTGACTTCCTGCTTGAATTAACGTATGTCAAAATCTAATGCCTTACACTGAGAAAGTCATCAACATATGATGTTGATGTAGAGAAGAAAAGATACTACAAACAATATATGTAATATTTTTCATGACGGAGACTTACTTTGACCAGGAAGTAATTTTCTCATTATAAACAATTAGAAGCAAAAATATCCCTCCCATACAGATTTAGATAATAAAGAATATTTATTTTTATCTTTGTTACATTTAGGAATCATATTTTGTGTAATCAATGTTAAAAATTACATGCAATTTCTGTGCTACATGGATATTATAATGAAATAAGTATTTCCTCATATCATAGCCTTTTAGTGTCACCTCAATAAACAATGAGCTAGGTCTTTTAAACTTAAGAAAAATTTATTTTTATATTACATATTTTTAAATACATGATAGCAATTGTATTTAATATAAATATCTAGTGAATCATTATTTATAGAAACTGCTTGAAACAGTGTATAATTAAAAAGAAAATTACTGACCATATTCTATTCCTAAATCATTTGGTCCTTCCACTGAAATTTAGGTTCTACACACGGTCAAGCATGGTGCCTCATATATCATACAGCTTCAATAATTTTTATCCAATTAGCCACAAAAGAATAAACATACCTTAAGCTACATCTGTATAAAATATTTAGAAATTAAAAATTGAGAAAGAAATGACATAATGTTAACAAAATACTTTATACGTTAAAAAATTATGCCAGGCACGGTGGCTCACACCCGTAATCCCCGTACTTTGGGAGGCCAAGGCAGGTGGATCACGAGGCCAAGAGATTGAGGCCATCCTGGCCAACATAGTTAAACCCCATCTCTACTGAAAATACAAAAATTAGTTGGGCGTGGTGGTGCACGCTTGTAGTCCCAGCTATTTGGGAGGCTGAGGCAGGATAATCACTTGAACCTGGGAAGCGGAGGTTGCAGTGAGCCGAGATCACGCCATTGCACTCCAGCCTAGTGACAGAGCGAGACTCCGTCTCAAAAAAAGGGAAAAAATTAACTAACTTGCCATTCCAATAAAATTGTCAGTGCAAAATGTTCACAGTTCAACAAAGATTTACCTGAATGCAATTAGAAAAACTTATGAGTAAATGTACATACATGTGCTTACATATACCATATCATATACATATCCATAGGTATATATTTACATGAACCTTATATATATGTCATAAATACGTAAAAGTGATCCCAAACTGATGTATCACCAAAATTTGTATTTTCCGTGCCTGATTTAAATGATTTTGAAATTATGAGTAGTTGGCTATAAGTTCATACATACATGTGTATATATGTATATATTTATAGATCACATGTATGTACCTGTATGTGTGTACCCCTGTATATACACATAGGTATATATCCAATGCTAAGTCTCTTAGATTTTCCAAGTCATTTAAGTCAAATGGGAAAAATCTATTGTGATGGTGTATTCAGACATGGCTAGCTATTACATTCTACTTACTGATACATCTTACTATGTTATTTTGTTGTTAATAAGATAGAATCAACTTTAAAATGCACTGTCAATTGTAGAGAAATGATATATGTTCAACATTTGCATTGCTTATAAGCTCCATCCTAATATGAGAAATATTAAAATGTGAAAAAATATGTATTTATATTAAAACAGTATAATCATGATGTAAGGTATTTCAAAATAAGACATATCCAACAGTAAGAAACTTACTAAAGAAAATATTATGTGAGATTTTAAAAATAGATAATCAGAGCTAACTGTTTAATTGATAATGGTTCAAATTAGGACTCCCACTCTGCATACCAGTAGCCTCTAAACGTTAAGTCAAGTAGGAAATTGTGTGTGCACAAACACACAAACATAGAATAAATGTATCATGGTTTATTATTTTTCATAACTCATGGCCATAGAAATTACAAATTATTCACAGTAGAGTTAATTCCAAGTAAGCCAGAAATGATTCTGCATATATGAGGCATAAGTTTCCGTGACAAATAAGAACAAGTATATAAAATCCTACAGATACATGACCCATAACACATTACAGAGCACTGATTTCCCAGAGGATAATGTAAAACTCATGTACCCAGTAACAGTACTATTTTGGTTCTCTTCCATAACTCAAATCTATTCATGCTGCACATTTACTTTTACATAAAAATATATTTTAGTTATCTGGGCTATTTCATCTGTGACAACAAGATTCTTATTTATTTTAAATATGAGTATCCTATTTTACTCTGAAGCATTTTCTTTATGATCTTTCTGTCACCTAGACCATTTTTAAAGTGTATAACATCTTTCATTCACACATCAGATAACTTCTTGTTTTAAATCCTAAAAATTCACATAAACAGGAAGAGTTACTCAGGAATTTCATTTAATGAACTGGATTATACTTCTCTTTCTGAGAACTAAGCTGTATATATTTGATATGCTGGAATATTCCTATTACAAGCAAATAATCTCAAAAGAAATGATTAGTTTTATTTTTATTTTTGATTACTTTTATTAAAGAGAGAAAAGGTAATATTTGATCCATGAATTTTCACTCAAGTAGAAATAAATATAAGTAGAACAGTAGGGATGGAAACAGAAAAAATGGTTCTAATGCATGCAGAGGAGGGGTAAGAAAGTAAATATGCAGTTAATAAAAGAATAACACCTAGGCCTTCTATTTTTCTTAGCTTTGGGCTCAAATTTCAGTTGAGATCAGAAGGGAATTTAGTCTTATGTGCTCAAACAAATATATATTTCCTCTGCTCACCAAACAAGAATGACAGAAGCTTTTACCTGCTGGATAATTTAACAACATGAATTAGTAATTAGGATATTAAACCAAGATCAGGACTGAAGGTTCCTGAAATCTGCCTACATTTTAGGACAAGGTTTTATCTCACTGAAAAACAAATGGGAAATCTCTTGAGACTCTGACATCTGATTATATATCAGGCTCCCCTCTGTCTGTAACATGTATGTTTCCCTTCTTCTCACCATGGTCATGCTTGCTTTTTCCGTCACCTCTTTAGAACTTGCTTTCTTTAATTAGCAAGGGAGTCCCTTTGTCATGTAAAGCACTGGTTCTTTCAAACTAGCATCATCCTTTGATGCTTTTTAGATCTTCATAGGAATCATAGGTTTTTCCTGGGAATACTCTAAGCTCATCTAAATTTTAGATATATAGACCAAACTACAGATATTAATATTTTAAGGAGACTTTATGATAAAATAAATATTAAGAAGTTATGGGTAAGAATAGCCAGAATGGCATGTCTAGATAATTCTTTTTGGCAATGGTTATCGAAGTACAGTGTGTGTATTAATGGTGCAGCATCATATGAGAACTTGCAAGAAACGCAGATTCTAGGATCTATCCCAGACCTACTGGATGAGGAACTTGGGTGGCAAGGGGTTGACTAGTTAAAGAAGTGGGTGGTGATTTTCACACATGCTAAAGTTTGAGAATCACTCTTGTTCTGTTGTATCCTAAACAAGTAATGGGACTAATTAACACTAATAATAATAATAGCATTTCTCAGTTCGAAAAACACAATTTTATCCCAGTTAGGGAAAGCAATCTTCTGACTGTTCCAATAAAGCTTTTATCATTTTTAGAACCATGTAGGCTACTACTTATCTGAATCTTACAGTAAAGAATTAAGCAGTTTCAAACCCAGGATTTAAAACTGTCACAGTGATCTCGCTATATGAGAATGAGGGACATTAGCAGGATAATATGGCTATTTTACTCTGAAGCATTTTCTTTATGATCTTTCTGTCACCTAGACCATTTTTAAAGTGTATAACATCTTTCATTCACATATCAGAATGTGATAGGCCACAGGGCCACAGATATAACCATGGAGGTTAGTCTGGTCAGCACTTCAGTCTCCAAATCTTTCCCCTAAAGTTGTCTTTCTTTCTATAACTGACTTTTCTCATGTCATTTTTCCCCAGATACCTTTATCAATGAATGTGTCAACCTTTCTGGCATACGACCAGCCCACAATAAGTTACTGTGGGGTGCATCATGAACTTCTCTCCCATAAGTCCTTTGAAACGAATGCACAGGAAGATACGATGGAAACACACCTAGAGACTGAGCTGGACCTGAGCACAATCACAACAGCTGGCCGAATCAGTGACCATAAACAGCAGCTAGCTTAACTGAGATCACTGGTGGCCAAGGGTTGCTACCAAACTTTGTAAACTCAAGGACAAAATGAGGAAGATGTGTTCATTGCGGACTCTAAAAACAAAACAAAACACAAAATCCACTGTTCAAATAAACAAAAAATCCAAGATTGATTCATGAAATAAAGAAGACATGAATTGTTTTAAGTCTACACTTTGTAATTAGCTAAGTTGTGCAGTATTTTTTGACTTAAACAGAGTATGACCCTGAAAAATAAAAGAATCTTTTTTTCAAAACTCATCCTACCTACCTGTAAAAACTGTACAAAGCTAATGTATTTTTCATATTGTAAAGTTTCAATTATAGAAACAACTGGTATGTACAGTACCATAATTTAATTACATTTTACTTTAAAACCTTTACACATTTCAGTTTCTAAAATTTTAAATTAACAATTATTTCTTGTGTTATTCAGAGTTACTCAGTTTTGTAGGGACTGTTTTGTTACTGCTTTTGTGCCCAGAAACCTTGACTCTAAAATTCTGTGCTGTGCGAAACATGCACGATTTTTATTATGCTTACTGCGTAGAATTTTATCTACTTGTTCCAGAAATAATACATTAACCGAAAAAGATTTAATTGTTCAGACTTGTAAGAAGTTCTTCAATTACATAGACAGGTTTTTCTTAAAAATGAAAAAAAGAAATCAAAGATTTTTTAACAGTTCTCAGACTTAACTGTTGCCTTGAATTACAGCCTAGTTTCTAAGCAGTGAAATGTAATGATAAAGAGGGTTATTTTAACAACATATTTCTGAATGAATGACTCATTATTTCATTCTTTTGAGTAACCATTGTTAAGGGTTGGGGGGAAGAATGGACAAAACCTCACTGGAAACAAAGGCCGTAACCACAGCAACAGACTTCATGATACAGTTAAAATGCGCAGCTGCCAGTGACAAAAACTTTTGTTACATCTCATTATTTTCAGGCCACGGTGGGAGTCTAGTGCATAATAATTGTACAGTAGCAATTTTTCTCCTAATTAACACAAAGGAGTTTACCTAAAAGTAACCACCAGTCTGTAAAATGTGCCTGGTTCTTAAGACAACTTTTCATTTAGAACTGTGAGACCATATTTTGGAAACATTTCAAAGGAAACATGAATTTTTTTGCATTGTGCACTATATCATTTCTCTCCTGAGGAAGAATTTTAAACATGTTCAGCTCATTCAATATAGATATGAGCCGTGGTGGAGGACTTTATCACTGAAGTAAATTGTAAAATCCTTAATATGTTATAAATTGTTTATGTTGCTAACCATAACGGGATTCACCTCCAAATTATCAAAGAAATAACTCAGAGTTATTTGACACCAGCCCAGATCATATATTGATTATACAACTGTATTATAAAGTTAATTCAAATCACATTAAGAAAACCTGAGTTTTCAGAAGCTGAAATAATCAACTCGTTTGTGTTGTTTGCTTGACATAGGTTATTGTTTGAAAATATTGTTACTTTATCAATAGTAATCACACATTCTTGTTTCTTTTTAATGGAAAACTGCAAGTTTCAATTACTGTTGCACTAGAAGCGCTTTTTATGTTGTCATTTTATATTCATGCCATCGTAAGTAGAATGACAATACATCAATCTAACAGGAGTCAATCAAAACAATGAAGAAAAGAATAACTGAAAACAATGTCAAACTTTTAAATTTTTATCTCTTCCAAAGAAATTCTATCTATAAAAGCCTAGTTTTATGCAGGTTTGTCACAGCAAATTTAAAAGCAACTTCAAGAAGAATGAACTTAAAAACTGTGGAGCAAATTTTTGTTGAAAATATATAAAGTCAGAAAGAGAAAACGGTGTAAATGTTGGAAGAAGCAAATTCTATTACTAATTCAAATGAAACTAAATGTCAAACACAGTACTTGTGTCAACTATTTAGCATCCCAGATTTTGTAACATATTTTGCATAAATTATTTGCTATTCAAAAATTTTTGTCATTTTAAGGCTAATTTTAATCTTTATGTTTTCCATTTTTTAATTTCCTTGCAATGTATTAGTCTTAGAGTATTATTAATTTTCTACATTGAGATTTGGCTTTACATCATTAGCAAATTTATAAAGGGATATAAATCTATTATTTGTGAGTCTAAAATCAAATGCAAAATTTTATTTATTATGTAAACCAAAATGTCATTTGCAAGTTTTCTCATTAGAAGTTGTCCTTGCAAAGTTAGAAAAGGAAGAATTAATTTGTGTAAACAAGCACAAATTAACATATTTATTAATAAATAGGTTTATCTGCTAATAAACCTATTTGTAGACACATTCAAATTGATAAAGATTTTTAAAATGTTAAGGTTCCAAAAAGTCTTACAGGTGTATACCCTTGATTTCCTGAAGCAAACCACTTTCTTTCTTAAATATTTTAAGTTCATCTAAAGTGAACAACTATAAATAGAAGCAATCACCTTGAAACCACAGCTCTGTGCAACCAAGGCCCTAAGCTACACCAAATAAGTCAGGATTTTTGAGATTTCTCATCTTTGAAATTCAACCAAAGGGTCTTTAACAAGAAAAAAAAAATCTGGATTATTACTATTATTTTTGCTTCATTTTTATTCTGCCATATCCGGGTTAAGGGTGAAGATGGTGACAACCTGCTGGAAAGACTGTGTCTGGAATCTTTATCACATATTTGCAATTTTTATCTGTTTTTGTCTAAAACTTTCATTTCTAATCTATCTTTTTCAGCATTCGATAATCTCTCATTTCCTCCTTCTAACCCCATTCCTATGTCTCCCTTCCTGTCTATTCCTCACCGATTTAAACAACTGAAATGTTTACTTATGTTTGGAGGTGAAAAATGGAGAGTTTGACCCAGCATGGTTACAATAACAGCCAGCAGCTGCAGCAAACAATAAAGTTATGCAGTGTTTTGAGGTTTACAAACCACATTTTACATAAATTATCTCATTTTGTCTTCATAGCAGCCCTGTGAAGACACATTAATCTCAAAGAAGTTGAGCCCTTGCCCAAAAACACAGGGCTAATAATTGGTGCAGTTAAATTCTTCTCAAAATTTACAGGCTGTTAGTTTTTCCACTGTACTAAAAGCTTTCTTTGTCTGATCAGAGCCAGAGAACTTCCTGAGATAATGGATAGAAGAAAAAATATATATATTTGACATGTTGTTTAGTAATCTCTACTTTAAATCCATTTCTCCATCTGTGAAATATTAGCTAACTGAATTCTTTCTGTGTGCTACTCTGGGCTCTCACATTAAAACTCTGTTCAAAAAGTTTAACAAGTCACATATTTCTTAACATACAAGTTCGTTTGCAAAGGTGCAGAACAGATGCTCCCAAGATGTGGATGCATGTAGGCCCCAAGGTATAGACATCAAATAAAGGAAGCACAAGGAAAGAAACCACAAGGGAAGAAACCAAAGACCTTCTAAATTGAGATTGCATAATTATAAAAGAGATCCATAGTACAAGGTTGAACACATGTTCAATACATTGCCAACTGAACACATACTCAATTCAGAGCTAATTAGGAAGGCATATAAAATTCTTTTTCTTTTGGCAAGATTTCGTAAATCTTGGATTTTTTTTTTTACTTATAATAACAGAACAATTTTCTCTTTTTACCTTATAAGAAAAATAAAATATAATTTATCCAAATTGATGTATAGAACCCAAAACATATGCTAACATGCAAATAATATATTTTACTGATCAACTCATTTTTGTCAAGTCTCTATTTCTAGTCCCTCCTGAATGTTTTAGAAAACCAGGAAACCATACAGATTTTTAATACAAATTATGTTTTTACAAGGAAAGAAAACATTTCCAAATTTAACACTCAAGACTAATCACACAATCCTAATTTGAACTCAGATCTCTCTCACTCCATAGACTGATTAGAAATAGTAAAATCTTTTTGCAAAAAATATTTTCTAAAATAAACTATTGTATAAGAGAGTAAAAATATTATTTGTTTTTGATTGTTCCTGACTGGAAGACAGATATCATCTCTCAAACTAAATATTCAAAATAAGAAACTGAATGCATGAAAACCAATACCTGATGTGAATTGTTGTTATTAAGGTGTATGAAAGAAATGCAGATGTTTGGTTATATGAAAGCATGCGAAAGGAGAGATTGAGACTGGCAGGTATTTGGCCTCAGGAGAAGAGGCAAAAAATTTCCAGAGCAGATATAATAACATCTCATATTGGCACAGCTGTTAACAGTTTATAATGCTGGGTAAAATAACAATCTTCTAATAGATCAAAAAGTCTCAAGGTACAGATGGACTGGTCTTGCAACAAATAAGAAAGAGCTTCCAACTCCTCCCATGACCTTCTTAGTTTCCCCAGCTGTCCCTAAATAGGGAAGTACCAAGTGCAAAGGACCCAGGAGCAATGTTTTCAAAATTCTGATTTACCCCAAAGGTAGGGTACCTGGACAAACGATATTTTGCCATCAATATTAATGGGAAAGAAATGTTTGAAAATGTAAAACCAAGCAAACACACACACACACTAATGGGAAAGAAATGTTTGAAAAGGTAAAACCAAGAAAACACACACACACACACACACACACACACACACACACACACCCACACACCCACCCCCAAAGTGGTGGTGGGTCTTTTTTTGAAGGTTTCTCATGACTTCCATTACAGTTTTATTGTGATATAAGAGGAAACTTATATTTAATTTCTTTAGGGTAAAATCCATGTTTTAAAAAGTCCACCATTTCTTTTTTTTTTTTTTTTTTTTTTAAGACGGAGTTTCGCTCTTGTTACCAAGGCTGGAGTGCAATGGCGCGATATCAGCTCACCGCAACCTCCGCCTCCTGGGTTCAGGCAATTCTCCTGCCTCAGCCTCCTTAGTAGCTGGGATTACAGGCACATGCCACCATGCCCAGCTAACCATTTCTTTTTTTCTTTTTTCATGCTATGAAGGACAGTGATCTTAGAGCAGCAGAGTGCCTCAGCCATCTAAGACTTAGACCACTAAGTTTCTTCCTTCTAGCTCTTATTTATAAGTTTTGTGTTATATGATATTTGTCTTCCTGAAAAGCTGAGTGAAAATTTGTGTAAATCAAATAATATTTCAAATGTATCAAGAGGCCTTGTGATAAAGGAACCTTGAAATTGTTTTCTAATCTGAAATATTACCCACTAATTTATCTTGTTGAAATTGATCTCCATATATCTTGTTATTTTAATGCAGCACACTTTCATCACGTGGTTTAAAGGTTCTGCAAGACAGTCTTTGCCTCAGACTGTATGAAATGATAGCCTGAATCCAGGTTTTGAGTCAGTCAATATGAGCAATCAGTTTCCGTCATTTCCACTTACTGACTTTACCTGGATTAATGTGGAAAATAGTAATAAGACAACATGGATGGATAAAGTTGACAAATGATTTTTTTATTTGTTTAAACATTTTCCACCTATTTTATCCTCAAAGTTACTATTAAGAGGTCAAGATGACTCCAAATCTCTTGTGTCAATACTAGATTTACTGAATCAGAATTGCCGGGATGGATTCCAAAATATGCATTGCTAACACATTAGTGAAGTGATACTAATGCATCCTAAGTTTTGAAAAATATTGCTCAAATGAATTTACTTTTCCAAAGCCATTCAATTGCATTATATTCTAATCTAAAATTATGAATTCTTGTGCTTTCCAATATCAATGTGAATCTAGTTTTCTAAGCCTGACTGAACATTTTTCTTGACTGAGGAAAGCATAGCAAAAGACAACTATACATAAAATGCTCAGGTTGCTTCCTGACAGACTGTTGTTTATAGATTTTATTCCCCATTAACTCTTTCGAGAAGCATATCTGAAAACAGTCTTAAGGCAGCTGGGTTAGTTATTTGTTAGTTGCACCCATGAATATAACAGCTGAAAAGCTGGGGGTGGGGAGAGAGGCAGGAATTTATGATGTATCAGGCACTACGTCCTCCTTGTCTCATTCTTAAAACATTTTAGGAAAGAAGTATAACCACTATTTTAAAGAAAGGGAAATAAGGCTCATGCTAATTAAATAACTTGCCAAGTCTCAGACAGTGGAGTTGAAGATTCAAATCTAGATTTGTTCAACTCTAAGGATGTGTTCCTATCCCCCCACAGCAGATTTTCAAAAGTGAGAAGAGATCATAATCAATATAATGAGGCTTCTATATTTTAATGAAGGGGGGTGTTGAACACAGCAGAAAAAGAGTTTGCCTTTCTATTTCCAAACAGAAAAATTATCTTACACTGTGTAGAGATTTCCTCCAGAATCCTAAACCAGCAGCAGCCTAATGGAAAAAAACACCCAATATTTTGTTAAAGTTTTATACATGGTTTCATAAAAAAAAGTAAACAGTTGAAGGAAAAATCATTCAAAACATAAATACCCCTAAATATTTATGTTGTATTTTCATTTGCAATCATCTTAGCTCTTTTATAAATTTATAGCCAAAATATGATAAGGAAATATCAATAATATAACCTTCAACTGGCCAAAAAAAGAGGTGAGGTTGCCAATTTTAGCAAAAACTATGTGGTTGAATGGTCAATAAAGTTACCAAGTGCAAATGACAAGGTGGAGGAAAACACCAATAATCTACAGTCACAAATTGTCAACTGGCAATGACATGGCTTGGGCTGCAGAGTATTTCCTGTGAATGATTTTAAATGGCAATATGCTTTAGAGGAGTATTATTTACACAGATGATATGGGATCTGGAAGCATACTACATCAAAGGAGGCTGAGAGATAACCTTTATAACAAGGCAGGCTCTACTTGTCCTACTCAGAATGTAATACATGTTTAAATATAAAATAAACGTCATTTCCTTTTTTCATTACTTGGAGATGGAAAAATAAAATTATTTTTTGAAACTTATTTTTAAACTCACATATTGGAAAACATCTTCCTCAGTCTCAGCTATTCACAAGGATTCTTAAATAGTCTCTCGATTCCTTTAGTGTCTCAGGAGCTTTTTATTAAATGACTGAGTTATCGCTTCTATCTCTCCCTGAATGCTACAAGTAATCCCATTGGTTAATCATATTAGCATTTTACTCCATCACAGGATCTGAACATGTAGCATCCATGAAAAACAAACTTTTATAATACATACAGCATTCAGGAGCCAGTGAAGCACTCTGTAAATCATGCCTCCTACTAAAAATGATCATGTCTATAACTGTGATTAAAACTAGGCTATAAATTTAAAACAATAAATCCAGCAAAGAAAGAAATTCTAGCACCCTAGATCTAATATCATTGTGTCTTCTCATTCTGGCACCATTACCACCATACAGAAATGTTATCTGAAATATCTAGAATAATTCTTACTGGGAACAACAAAGATGCTCCTGGTTTCTGGGTTGAAGACGTGGTGAAAGAAAACTAAGAAGACAAAAGTTACACATAACAAGGTAAGTGAAGGGAATGTGATTTATTATTAAATCATCTGCAAGTAATTTTAAAAACTAAGACCCTTTATTAAAATTTACAATAACATTTATGCCATCAAGTCTCATTGTAAAGGCTAATATGGATATTGGGATATAAGAGAAATGTGGCATTTGTGATAGCAATATATATTAGATGAGAGAGAGAATTAATTCTACCAAAAGAGAATATTAATAATAAAAATTAGTTCAAGAACTATTTCTTTTATTTCTCTAGAGAGAAACTGAATAGGGAGAGATTTAAACTCAATGCTTCATGATCTTTCCAAGGTCAAATCTGAAATAATCCAAAACTATAAACTCTGAATTGCTGCTTCAACTATATGAGTAGTTATATTAATTCACATACACCTAGTCAAAATCTGATGTTGAGAAATGAATTGTAATTTCAAATATACTCCATCTGTTCTTGCTGTTTTATATCAATGATGTATTTGCTTTCAATTACAGATCCATAAATATAATGTCCTAAACAGTCTGATGAAAATGTGGTAAAAGATTGGACCCTGCTGTTTTTCTGTTCTACCATAAGGCAATTATCGGAGTAGAATGGCCACCACAGTGGGGAGCTGGAAATATGATTTTTAAAGTCCTCTCTAGAGGCCTTATTTTATATTCATTTATAAAATAAGAAAATTATTGCCTTGAGGCAAAAGCCTGCAAGCCCCATACAAGCTCCGGTCTGACTTTACTTACACGGGAGAGGTCTAGGGAAAGGCAGTGAACATCTCCACATGCTATACAGAGAAAATCTTGAGATCCTTGTGATGTCAACATTTTTTCACCTTTGGATTTGATGGAAGCTTAAGTTCAGTGTACTGGACATCCTTCAAACCTTCTCTGCCAGTTTCCTCTTTAACAAACTTCAAACCTGAGTTTCTTGAGCCAAAGTTGGCTTTTACACACAGCTATTTAACAATGAACCCTCGTTATACTTCATCATTTTGCTGAAGAATTACATAATTATGGTTGTAGCCCTTATCGACTTTTCCCTTGCCTTTGGTTCCAGGTACGGGATAAAACGTGTGAACTTGATATGGAACATGGTACCACAGGGGGATTGGAAGATGAGCCTTCTAACAGATAAACATTTTATGCAATATAAAATAGAAATGTAGTTTGGGGGCACTTGTTTTTAACTTAACAATCTGATACAGTTTTAAGATAACGACATGCTTTTCTGCTACTGAGAATACAAACATTATTGTCTATAATGAAGACATGATTTTGTTGTCATATATGTTCGCTTGCTGAGGACACACCTCAGACAACTGATTGTGTTCTGTAATTACCACAAAGAATGCCTATTTAATTATTTTCAGAAAGAATGACTTAATGCCAAGAACTTTAAGACAAAATAACAACTGACAGTGAATGTTTACTTTTCTAAGCATTTTACATGTGTTCTTTCATTCAGTCCACATTAATATCGCTAACACAATTAACAATAATCCTATGAAGTAGAAACTATTGTTTATTCCTTATGAAGATAAGAAACTGATGCACAGAGCAATTATACAACATATAGCTAGTAAATTGTGGGGCAAGGATTCAAATCTGATTGACCGAAATATATTGAAAAACTGACCCTTCTTACTGTGGATTTAAGGTCCACTATGTAGATCCCACTGTTAAGTTCAAAATTCTACCTATTTAAGGCCATCACTGAAGACAGTTTTTGAATATAATTGATGTGTTTATTACATACCTAATATATGCCTATTGGAAGGTAAAAAATTTTTAGAGATACATGAGTGTATGATATAGTCCCCCTTTCCAAGGGACTTACAGTCTTACCAAAGAGAAAAGACATCCATATTCAACAGAAATAAAAATAAGGTGACTCAGTTTAATACCTGCAATTGCAAACAGCAGTTAGGAGAAGATAAAATGAAAGTTAATAAAGTTGTTGGGACTATCTCAAGGCAAAACTGATAAAAGTCATAGAACTTAAAACTAGCAGTGATGAGAAGGCAGTGAAGAGAGACTATTATATTTTTATTTATAGATGTCTATTATTCCAGTAGGATTTCTCATATTCATGCTCCTCTGTAAGAGAAAGACCAGGCTCAGTCTTTGTCTTGATGGCCTAAAAGTTCAAAGCCAAATTTTACTCTAGCCACAGTAAACCTCTTGGCCTTTCTAGGCAGGCATAAATATTTCCCACATTTTTCTGAGCTCGAATTCTCTTTACATTTTTATTTTTTCTTCTTTGGGGTGGGGGAAAAGCATATTAATCCTTTGTTTAAAATGTTATGTCCGTTTCAATAAAAAGCTCATGAAACATTTTGAAGACTGATCCAGGCAACTGTGTTAATTTCAAATAATTATGTGAATTAAATCAAACAACTTTTTAGAAGCTAATAATTGTTACCATCCTCTGTCAAATTACTGTTTGGCACAAATGGATACATGGGTTATAGATTGCTTGACTTTTTCTGTTTTTCAACCTTTTCAGTCTTCATGTTAGTATTGGTGAATATTAACCAGAATTTATATTTCAAAGAGTAAAAATAAAAATCATTTTTGATTGCTACATTTTATAAATAAAAAACAACAGCAGAATATGATTAAAGACCATGATAAAAATCATTCAGGTAACAGTGAGACAGTCAGGTAGGAGGGGGTCCCTAGCAAAACTCCAACCGGTCTCCACACTGGGAATGTGCACTAGGGTGAAGTCAGACAGAGGTTGCAGCCCATTTGCAGCAGGGGGGAGCCTGGCCCCTCCTCTTCCTTCGTGGGACCTGGGATTCAAGAGGTCAAGCAGGAAGTGCCCTAGGGGGGACTATGGCCTTGCAGAGAGTCCCTGTTTCCCTCTTTTCTTCCCTCTCACCCAATAAAACACTGTCTTACTCACCATTCAAATTGCCTGTAAACCTGAATTTTCCTGGCTGTGGGATAAGGACCCTGTCTTTAGCTGAAATAAGGAAAAGTCCTGCAAACAATAGCAAACAGACCAGTAGGAGAATGTACATTTACTTAGAACTATTTTTTCCTAGAGTGAAATATTTTTAGTTTATGAATACACTGACATTTAGAAATATGCAGAATTATTTCTGCCTTAAAAGTACAAATAACTGTCAGTAAAGTTGTCATTTTACAAGTACAGTCAAATAGATATATTTCTAATCTGAAACATGGTGTATAAGAAGTGACTTTAGTTCTTTTGAATTTTTTTAAGTTGAGAAATAGTCTCTTCATCAAATTCTGCTCATCACTTGGACTATTAATTTGCAGTTATCTCTGTGTTTATTTGGTAGGTACAAATTTTCATCCACAGACATTTGTTCAATGCGTCTTTCCTTTTATATTATATAATGATATTTTCATATTTTTAACTCTAATCAATAAAATAAGCATTTATTCATTTATTCATTTTTATTATGGTATTCCAGTGACTGTGATGGGAGACACAGTGATCAAATGCTTATAGTGAATAAATAATTGTGACTCAATGTGATATTTCTAATGAAGTTTGTGCATGATGCTGTGAAATGATTGGGTTTGCTGGAAATCAGAAAAGGCCTTACAGAGTAAATGCTACTTGAGAAACTTTAGGTTTGCCATTGACGAAAATTAGTTCTCTCTACAGTCTCCACATCCAGCTCCTAACTAGAATTTAGAAGTCTTTTAGATGTCTAGAAAACTGGGACTCTAACAGTTTCTAAGTCTAGTATTCTCCCCATATAGCTACTCAGTTTTTTCTACTATGTATGTCAAATAAAATTTTGAAAAAATTGTCCCTTCCCACAATCTTTTCAAATTAATCCTCAAATAAAAATCATTTAATTTAGCTATTCCATAATAAAGAATATGCAATTTTATTAAATAAATAAATTTAAAGTAATTAATAAATAAATTTAATGGGTTGTCAGAAGTGTTCTGTTTCGTTTTGTTTGAAAAATGTCCATTAAAATGCTACTTATGTGGGTTCAGAAGCCTATGATCCAATTCTAACTTCAGGAATAAGTGAAAACATGTAGAAAGGGTATACTGGGCTATGCAATTTAAATTTTAATCAACTACCAGTTATGGCATAAGACTGATGTGAAAATGAATGAGAATTAGATTATATGTAGAGTATTTTGTCTTCTGTTCTGTCACTATCAAATTTTTCATTTAAGAAATAGAAAAAAAAATAGTAAGGTGGTGAATTTGCCTGATATACCAATAAGCACAGTTGTTTTGGAAGTTGCTTGATACCATTAACTCTTTGCTTCTTTAAATAAGTATTTTTTTCCTTAACAAACACTTATCTTTATAAGATATCATTACTCTCAAACAATTCCAATGTTTATTTGGTGCTTATGGCATTTTTAAATTTAAATCTTCAAGAATATACTTTGCATTAAGATGAACCTAATAGTATTAGTGAATTCAGCAACTAGTTCAAGGCATAGTTTTCTGATCTACCTACTTAAGAAAATGAATATATTTTAATTTTAGAATGTCAGAACATGTCAGTATTAACTCAAAGACAGTTATCATGAATAATGCTATTTTAATCAATGGCAAAGGAATTGTGCCTAATATTCTAAAATACTCTTGAGGATTATGAATAGTGTGCAGTATGGCAAAGGCAGCCATGAGAATCCCCAATATATAAAATGTATACTGTATTCAAATAATTATTTCTCAAAAATATAAATTTTCACTCTGGCTAGTTTCCTATAGAGTGGTACATGCTATTTGGTAGTAAATGAGCCTGTAAAACTGAACTCATTAGACTGCAACTACTTCTGTTGAATATCTAAAACATCCTTAATGTGAATGTTTTGAATTTATCTTTTATATGTGTAGAGTCTGTAGTTTGTTAGTGACTATAAATTAAATTATAACAATCTTTAGATTTTTTAAGTTTCACAATTGTTCTGTATTCCAATTAAGAGGCTGAAAATCTAGTCTGGGAAACTCCACTTGGTTTACAAAAAAAAAAAAACAAAACACATCAATATGCTTTTTATTTCATCGGGCTCTGGCACTGTTAAGATTAGCACAAAATACTGACATTTACACTCCTGAGTGGAATAGAAGGGGAGCAGGGTGGAATGACGATGGCAAGTAATTGGACAATTGGACAGTCTCCAGAAAGGCTTTGAGAAACACTATTAAATCTCTATCTGCTGATTGAAAATTCCAGGTTCATAACGTATAACAATAGCCGAAAATCAAGCCTTAGGTGATCTCTACCTTTCCTCTCCAGGTTTCTACCCCACCTACTTTGCAAGAACCTGTGACAATCTTTTAATTAAAACATCTGAATAATTAAACATTTTAGGCTAATGATGACAAGAAGGCAGGCTATATTTTATTCCTGTTGTCGAACTGCCCAGTGTATATTACATTTGCTATAATTACTCAAAAAATCCTGCCTTAAAACATATTATAATTAAAAAGAAAAGAAGGAAAAGGGAAGAAATAGACTAAAATTAAATTAGGGTCTTACACTTATAATGAGGTGGCTCTAAGGAGGTAAGACTTAACCTAAATTAGTTTTTATTCCTTTGAATTCGTGGAATAAATGCACCTTAAATTTCTCTATTCCATCAGGACAGATCACAGGTGAACCTGGTAAGGGAGTAAGCAAAGAACAATTACACTTTCAGGGTCCTAAATCAACCACAGGGAGAATAATACATTACTCTGCTTACATTCCTCTTCCTCTCCATGTTTATGTCTCCTTCCGTATTTCCTTCTCAGTTTGAGTTTTATATAGCATACAACATACACATGTGCCAACACAATGTGAGTGACAAGACTGGGAGAGGAAAAGCTTACATTAATTTATCTTGAAAAATGAAATGTCCAATTATACAATATGCTAGAGTGCTATTAGCTCACCAAATAACATAAATAAGGTTATATTAAACTCAGTGCCAGACCTGACAACCAAACCTAGATTCAAAAGCAGGTCTTTCTTTTTTTCAAAAAATTTAATATATTAGAAGTTAAGAAAATTCACATAAGGCTGAAACTCCTTGTTAAAAAAAAATCCTTTGACATTTTTCATAAAAACAGCTCTTTGCCTGTGGCTCAATTTAGGACTTTCACAAATCACTTGAATAATGAAGGCCTTGGTTTGACATGACTGTATGTGTGATATTCTATGAAGGGTCCAGAAGCTTGTTAAGGACAATCACTAAAAAAAAAAATGAAAATATCTCCAGATTACTTTTGTCCAACCAGTATATGTTAGAAAGTTATCTGCTGGAGTC